AGAGTTAGTTAGTCAGCCACCGACGGCGGCTGAGTTTGTCTCATTCTTTTTTTTTTTTTTTTTTTAGTTCATCCAAAAAAGGCCTATAATGACTGTCAACAAATTCATATATGGAGTTCTGCTTCTCTGTGATAGAAAAATAAACAACGATCCTTAAGGAATTCCTACTCCATGGGCGCCTTTTTAATACACTAAACAATATTGTTATATTCACATGATTTGTTTACATCGTTATTGGATAATACACTAAACAATATTGTTATATTCACATGATTTGTTTACATCGTTATTGGATAACACACTAAACAATATTGTTATATTCACATGATTTGTTTACATCGTTATTGGATAATATACTAAACAATATTGTTATATTCACATGATTTGTTTACATCGTTATTGGACAATACACTAAACAATATTGTTATATTCACATGATTTGTTTACATCGTTATTGGACAATACACTAAACAATATTGTTATATTCATATGATTTGTTTACATCGTTGTTGGATAATACACTAAACAATATTGTTATATTCATATGTGTCATTCAATCTTCTTATTGGACAATACACTAAACAATATTGTTACATTCATATGTATCATTCAAGCTTCTTATTGGACAACACACTAAACAATATTGTTACATTCATATGTATCATTCAATCTTCTTATTGGACAATAAACTAAACAATATTGTTACATTCATATGTATCATTCAATCTTCTTATTGGATAATACACTAAACAATATTGTTATTATTCATATGATTTGTTTACATCGTTATTGGACAATACACTAAACAATATGTATCATTTAATCTTCTTATTGGACAATACACTAAACAATATTGTTATTATTCATATGTATCATTCAATATTTTTATTGGACAATTCACTAAACAATATTGTTACATTCATATGTATCATTCAATCTTCTTATTGGATAATACACTAAACAATATTGTTACATTCATATGTATCATTCAATATTCTTATTGGACAATACACTAAACAATATTGTTACATTCATATGTATCATTCAATCTTCTTTATACGAAGATAAAAATATATTCATAACAGGAGGTGGGGGGGGGGGCGGTTCAGAGACCACCCCTAAATTCTCAAAAAAACGTCGTTTACAATTCAGCAGCTTAAAAACTGTGGGGCACGCCAGGTTCCTCTTACGTTTTTAATACTTTTATTTTACAAATTTCATTTAGGCTTAAGGTAGGTCACTTAAATTATTTGTTCACAAGAAAAGGTCCACATTTTTTTTTAAAGGAAAACTAAACAAAAAAACGACCCCCCTCTCACACGCGCATACTGTAGCGATGGCTACGCCCCTGTATGGTAATTAAACTAGACCAGATTTACTTTGTCTGGACTAGAAAATCGTATGAATTAGCGAAAGGTAGAGGTAATTTTTTTTTGAAAACTAAAGTACTTACAAAAGACAAGTTTAATCTTTTATCTGACCTAAATACAAAAATAGAAGGCGCCACATGACTGGTAGCTTTAAAAAAAAAAACATTTACGTTCATTCAATGCGCTCTGTAGACGAAGGCACTGAAATAAGAACATACACCGAAAGAAAAATATATTTACTCATAGATATGAGTGTGTGTGCAGACAGATAACATTAAACGATTTGTTACCAGGATAGGATTTGTATCTTTAATAAGCAGAAAAATCCAGGGCATCTCAAACAGAGAGCATATTTATACAGACAACGTTTTCTTTACAAATATGTGGTGTGTCCTTGCTTGTCAACCTACGAGCTTTACTTAGCCAGTACACGTTTTGTAGTCAATCTACTAACGTGTCTAACTCAACATTTTTCTTATTTTACGTATCTGATTATTTTTTAGTTTGTACAAAGTTATGAGAACTTCCTGCCTCTTTTGCGTTTATATTATCAAACTCATATTATAAGAAGTTTAATAATTCAGTGCGAAACTAAGCTATAAAACCTGATTGTCTGTTTATCGTAATAATAAACAATTTAATTTTTTTTCACCTAAAAAAAAAAAAAAAAA